GGGGAGGGGGGTTGGTTGTTTGTTTGTTTTTCAAAATCTGTGTCCCACTAACATGTCAGTTGTTTGTCAAGCAGCTAGCCAAATGATCACACCAGCCCAACAGGATAGACATTAATTTCTATCCTGGATTAATTATAAACAGCAGCTAGACAGGAGAAATATCCAAAATTAAAGTTGCTCAGCGATCCCTAAATCTATCTTTTACATTAGGCAGTTCTCATCAGACTTAATGAAATATTCTACTTTTTAATGGAAATCAGACTCTGGACATTTCATCTGTTCAAGCTACATTATTAGACAAAGATAAACAATATCAATCCTTTGGGAAAATCAAAGTGTTACAGCAGCCTCCTCCAAAATCAAGCCAAACTACAGAATAGCTCAGTAATGTCTCCTGTACCAAAAGAGAGAGTTGCTTAAAAGGCAGTAGAACATTTTGTTTTTGAAATCTTAGTATTCCGGGAAAAATGCCTAAACAGTGCGGGAGGGGGTAGGCTAACCTGAACTACAAGGAGGACTAGAAAACCAGTTTCTAAGAGCTCTGAAGTAGTAAAAGATTAGATATCAAATTGAATATTTTTTTTTTTAAGGAATAGTTTTCTGTTAGAAGACACACAAATTTCTGACCTCTGTTTCATATGTAAGCTTGGATTTTGACAAATCTGGTAAAGTGTTAAAATGAAATGCTTTGTCTTTCTTGCTTCAATTCAGTAAAGTTAGAATGCTTCAGTTAGATAATATTAAAAGCATAAAAGATTGAATTGTGCAAATTTTTTAAAATTTAATTTAAATGTTTATATTACTTCTAAGAATCTGACATAGATTTCATCTAATAATTTGTATTCATGTTGTATAAATATATAAATATAGTAGAGTTCCAGCATCATGTACACAAAAAGACTGAACATTACCAAAATTATTTTTTCTAAGGTTGATGGTCCCAAAATTTCCATTGAAGAAAAAACTGGTAAATAAACCCAAATTTTGAGATATATTTTCTTTGCAGAGAACACTCTGGTTTTTGAGAATTTCTAATTGGGTTGGCCATTCTACTTGGCCATCACCAGTAAAGAAGTATAACTTGAAGAAGCGGGAGGATATTACAGGAAAGGAAGGAGGAGGAGAATCTGGAGTGTAGAGAATGTACATTCAGAAAAGACTAAGACATGAGAATGAGACTGGAGCTGTGAAGGTGAAAAGCTCAAGAACTGAAATACAGTATAAATGGTGCAGAAGCAAATTGCCCTCCACTCTGCCAATGCTATTTTAATAATAAGCAGTAGGTGTTAATGCTTAAGTTTCATAAGGTGGAATGATGCAAAAATTGTTACCAAGATAAGAAGAACAATGCACAGAGCACATGGGGTGCAAATCCTGAACAGCAACTTGCTAATCTTCATCTCTTCCTCACTCCTCTGTGCCCTGCATCTATTTAATGTTTTCTTAGTCTTCCACTTTCCCCTTTCTTGGCTTTATATTATTTTTCATGTCACCCTCTTTTGCTTGGAATAACCTCACAATGAAAGTTGGCAAGGCCTCCTTCTTTGCATCACTCCTGGAGACCCATCTGCTCTGGGAAGTTTTCCAGCTGTAAGAACTCACTCTGTGTTTTTTCTGCACTGTATCAACTTCTGTCTTTGGATTGCGCACTTCCCAGGGTGGGGATCCCATTACTGTCTGGCATATTTATCTTACCACATAGTGGCTTCTTTCTCATATAGTCTAAATAATATCGATAGTACAGAACAGAGGAAAGTCGCACCTGTGACTCGGCCCCACAGAGCATGAGGGAATACAGCGAGTGATCAATATCTGACCATACTTTCTCTTTACAAAACTTCTGAATGAATGGTCCCATCATAAAACCACAAAGACAGAGGGACTCACCTGGATTTCCTCTTGCAATAGACCAGTAGATTATCGAATAGAAAGAACATTCTCTCCTGGATGTTCCCTGCTGAGATTTTTAACAAAGTCCCTTGGAGCAAGAGCTGTGTGCAGATATCTGTCAGATTTGATCCCTGAAACACAGAAAAGAGGTATTGTTTATTTTTAACTTTTGTTGTGTGTGCAACGAAGGATTTTTACTAAAACTGTTATTTTATCTGCATGTCATTAAACTGTGAAATAACTGATGCACTCATAAGGAGGAAGTCCTAAATTTCTTAATGTGGCTAAACACATCATGTTTTCTCTGGGTTACAAATATTTTTTTGAGTTCTCATACACTGCAATAAATCTTCCCCGTTAAAATTCAGGAGACTTTTTCCTGAAGAAATCTTTCACCTCCAAGCAGCTGTATTGTGAGCCTCTCAAGACCACTAGCCTTCCCTTCATACTCTGAGCTATCATTGACAATATCACAAGTGATGGCTTTAGGAATGCTTTATAAAAGAATAATGGTATTTCCTCAGCACTGTAGCTCTGATACTGACATATGTCATTATCAACCATCTCTCTGCAAAATCATCTCAGTGGTGATATGTCTCTCTAACTCTTTTGTTACAAGTATATGCAGGTGCTCTCCTTTAGCCATGAAAACCAGAGGTTGGGTTCTGGCCACTGTGCTAGCTGTTACGTGCAAGCCCTTACACGCACTAGACGGCCACAGAGGTTAACGGTGCTTGGTGCTCAAGGCACTTTAGCCTGTGAGGATCCCAAAAAGCCGAAAACCACAGTAGATTGCTCTAAACCATTCATTCCACAAACTGTTACTGATTATTCCTAGGAAAAGTAATCATCCAGTTTTTTAAGTGGGGCCCTTTAGACCAAAGCAGTTGAATCCAAATGAAAAACAACTTTAGGACTGTCCCAGGTTGCTCTCAGGACAGGCAAACTCCAAGTGTCCCCGCATTCTGAATGCGCACAGTTGGGAATCTGCTTCTCAACTGCTCCACTGACCAAACAAGATGGTTTGGCTAAACCTGAGGCACTAACCTTAAATTCCTTGATCTAGTATTACTTCAAAGGTACAAGAGCATCCTGTCAATAAATGTTCAGTTTCAGAAAAAGTCCCTGAGGCCTTGGAAACATTTACCAACCAGTTCTGGATCACTTATTAGTTTTTGCATTTCATTTTGAGTTGGAAGGAAGAACAACATAGGGTAAGGTTAACTGCCTTCCACAGCCAGCGTGCAGATAAGGAAGTAAATCAGATCATCTGACCCACTGCCTCAAATCTTACTGTAAAAGGCATCTGACTTTGGATTGCAAGACATTCATTATCAACAAAACTGCTTAATTTCCCAAGGTCTGTTAAACCTATATTCACAAATAACAGAAAAATTTTGTAAAACACTTAAGGAAACTGAAGACATCACTGCACATAGGCACGAAATCTATCTCCATCTAGAAAATCACCCCAGAAAGATCTGTTTGAATGATTTTAGACACTGCATGAGTGATTTTTTTTTTTTTTTTTTGAGGAAGGCACAATCTGCTGCCATCAAGCTATTCAGAGGAAATCACAGAATTCAAATCAGCCTTTCTAAATGCAAGGCAGTCACTCTAAAGGTGTGAATGAAGCTTTGATTACATCATTTTCTAAATCAAACCTTGCCAGCTGTGCTGTCCGTGTCTGGCTTTTAGTTAACAAGGAAGCAGCTATTCTTTAAAGGCTGCCAAATATGCAACACTAATTTGTGTGTCCCACATGTGTGCTTCTATATATTCTGGGTAGAATGATGCCGGAGCTAGCTAGATACAATAGTTCCATCTGCTGTCCTGATATGTTTTTATTTTCTTAACCATTCTATAGAAAGAGTTAATACATGTCCAGAAATGAGCACTTGTTATTCTGAAAATTACCTGCTCGCCATTACTATCTCCAGGAGAAATCCCTGTATTTCAGAATTATGACCCCGAAGTCCTACTAACACACAAATAGGAACAGAAACCAACTAACTACAACATAAGCATGCTCCTCACGTGGTTTGTCCATGCAGAAATCAAGGCTTCAGAGCACCTCAACATCAAGTACTTAATTTTCAGAAAGATACCTAAATATAGCAAAAGCAATGAGCACGCTGACATCAGTAACTGGAGTCAATTTTTTACCAACACAGGAATCACTGGGTAAAATTATCTGGCCTATTTTGTGCAGGAAGTGAAAGCAAGTGATTGCAACGGTTGCTTCTCACCTTAAAATCTAAGAATCTTTATTTTTCCATCAGACTTATCATGCTGGTATCTAAGCACTGTTGGTGTACTTCCTGTTTGCTGTTGACCTAGCTACTCCCCATTTATACCAATTTGAGGGGTTTTTCAATAGCAAGAAACAGATTAAGAAGATTTATTTGATGTTTTCAGAGACAACACAGGATTTCTCACCTTTCTAAGTGAGCCCAAGCTGCAGGGAAAAAACAAATAAAAAAGAAAACATCATAGCTGGTGGAATTGCAAATTACAGCCAATTATGAAGTGCTTGATCTGCCTAAGTACTAACACATATCTTACAACTCACGCTGTTCTGTGATGAAGGTTTTGCCTCCCTATGCATTTCAGACTGGGAGAATTTAAGGATATGTGGCAATTGCTCAGTAAAAATAATTCACAAGGACTCATGAGGAGGAGCTCTCCCCACAGAAAAATCAATACATAATTAATAGAAACAGTATGTTAACTTGCTCTTCACTAAGCAAACAAAAACATTCTACACAAAAGTTGGTCTTTTCATGCATCCTCTACTTCTCTTTCCCCTTTTTTAAAACCAATCTTCATTTTCCAGAAGGATTAACCAGAATCAAATTGACCTGAGACTAATCCATAACATACATCTACAAGGATTCTGTGCATTCCGAAAGAATGAATCTGAGCAGAGTCCATTTTGACAATCAGAACTCTGATTAAGCTGCAGCGGCTTCCCAGACTTGTCCTACATTAACGTGTCCCCTTTATAATGTCTCAGAAAGAGACTGGCAGGATGATGCCAGTATACGCTCAGTGTATGACAGTGATAGTGACAGTTGTATTAGAGAGGGAGACGCATATTGGTGGGTGGAGGTGTTGAAGAAGAAATGTTGAACTGAGGAAAATGCTCTAAAAAACAACTTCTCTTAGTGAAGTTACAGTTGACTCTCAAGAGCAAGAGGAAGAGACACTGCAGAAGCAAAACGATGTTGCATTGTTCTTCATGTTGGAAATATTGAGGGTGGCACTGATGGCAATAGGATGAAGATCAGACCATGGATGGTCCATTGGGACAACTGGAAGCACAAAGTCATAAAAATCAGTGAAACTACTGGTTTGGTTAAACAAAAACATTAGACAAGGTGGAGCTTGTTCCAAATTATGTGAACAAATTACCACCAAACCTCATGCTGGTCTGCCTGCACGCTCCCCAGATTCAGGCTACATCCCCTAGAATCATAAAACACTTGGTCATAAATAAGATTATCTTCACTTCTTTTTGTCAATTCAGATGCCTTGGATTAAAATAGGAATCCGTAGGCCTTGTCAATTTAGTATGTATGGTACACAGACATATATACAGGGCGTCAGTGTTTCAGAATACATATCCGTGCTAACAGAAAAGGGAAATTTTCTATTTCATAGGAGAAATTGCCATCAGATAAACTAAAAATAGGCATAAATTTGCCTTACAGACTTCCTCCTACACCCAGCTCTGTGGCTTATAGCACTGCATTGTTAAGCTAAAAATTTATTTAATTCAGCAACTGCCACTTTCCATAGATAGACATTATGAGCCCTTCCTTCTCATTAGGAATAAACTGTGAAATACATCTAAAAGAACTAAACCCAGTTATTTACAAGCATAGCACTTTGTTCTAGAGTCATCATTTGCAAGACCCCTAGCACCGTGAAGATAGGAAAATGTCTATAAGTTTCAAACTTCTTTACATGTACAGAAGAAAAAAGTGCCATCAAGTTGAGCACTGGCCTGTAGCTGTGATGTATAAAGCTAGTTTTCCTCCTTTTATTATGCCACTAGAATAATTTAGAAACGTTACACAGCTTACTGGGAGGGAAAAACACTTCTTCATTTTTGAAATTTTTAACTGAGTGACCTAGGTGACTGTTAGAAAACAGTATATATAAACAAATCTGAAAGGGTTTTCAGCCCTAGAATGTTGCTGCAGATAAGTTAAACCCTAAAAAAAGAAAAGCAATAAGTTTAGAACCACTTCATTTATGGCATCATGGACACTTTAATAATCATGCTTCAGGCTCCAGAGTTCAAACCACGCCTCTTGCCTAGATGACCCATGCGTTACATTGAACCTGAAATGGTTTTAACTGCTTCTAGAGGTTTTGCTATATAGAATAGAACATTACACGACTTTGTTTGCTTGAGCTTGCTATCCAAAAAACACACAGCTGGATATCTGGGCTGTTCTCACGTCTTTAGCTCGATGCCAAGAACATCCTTCAGGGAAAAAATGAGCAAGGCTTAAAACATACACGAAAGATAAAAAACAACCCAAAAGAGAGTCATGGAGAGCACCCAAGAGACCGAACATGAGGAAGTTTATATGACCTCTAACAAAACGTCCTCAGCTGGCAATGATCAGCCTCGAGATTTTAAGTGTCAGTCTCACTAAATGCTGATGCCAATCTCTCCATGAGACCATTTAACACCACTGAGTCCCTGTGGTGCACCTCCCAGAGGCTTCCAACTCCACTGATTCAAGGGCCTCAACTAAAGTAATCACAAGATAAGCTGCCAACCCTTTGCACACCATCCTGACTCCCCAGTATTTCTACCGAGTATCTCTTTTTCCTAATTTCCTCTTCCCCCAAGCTTCATATTCTAGCTTTCTCGCTCTCTTATTTTTCTCCCTTCCATAATAAATGCTTCTACCTACACAGATTCACCTACTGATAAACACATCACTAAACCACAGCCATGAGTAACTTAAGTGGAGCAAGCATAAATATACCAGTTGCTTTCTAATCTAATGCATGCTAATCTAATCTTTATCATTTATACAGGAAATCTGTATGAAGCAAAGTAAACTAACTTTCGAAGCTCCTGGAAAAACTGAAGGCTTGT